CATAGAAAATGAAAATAGGAATGAAAAAGGAGAAGTAAAGAAAAAGAAAAAATTAGGAAAGACAAAGAGCCAACGAATCCCTTTGCACAGGCCCTGAGGTTTCTGTGCCTTGTCAGCTACAAACCATGACCCCAGTGAAGGAGGCTGTGCAAGCTTCATGCAGTGACAGGGAATGCACGAGGCCAGAACAAATGTCATTGTAGGGAGAACAGATTCACAGTGCTCTCTAGCAAAAACCTGACTTCCTTTTCCATTAATTCTGCCTCTGCATCTTCCTACCTAAACTAAGCTAGACAGAAACCCTTATTTGGTAAACATGGAGTTGACAAGGACTGATTTTAATGTCACCTGTCTCTCCAGCCTTAGCACAGCTGGCAGTGCTGAAGCCAGCTCCTAGGGCCAGGCAGCCCAGGTTGACTCTTGCCCACAGATGCAGGAGGAGCTTGGTGAAACTATGATCTACAGAATCCTAAACTGGGACAACACACATTTTACTCTTGAAACAATAGGAGTTGTCACAACCACCCCGTGACCCAGTGCAACACTACAGGCTTGGAGAAGAGTGGCTGGAAAGCTGCCCATTGGAAAAGCACCTGGGGGTACTAGCCAACAGCCGGGTGAACATGAGCCAGCAGCGTGTCCAGGTAGACAAGAAGGCCTATGGTATCCTGGCTTGGATCAGAACTGGTGTGTCCAGAAGGATTAGAGCAGTGATTTCCCCCTGTTCTCAGCACTGATGGGGCTGCATCTGAATCCTGTGCTCAGCTTTGGGCCACTACAAGAAAGATATTGAGGTCTGGAGTGTGTCCAGAGAAGGGCAACAAAGATGGGTCAGGAGTGCAAGTCTTATAAGGAAGCAGCTGAGGGAGTTGGGATTGCTTAGCCTGAAAAAAAAGGAGGCTCTGGGGAGACCATAAAGATCTCTACAACTACCTGAAAGGAGGTTATAGTGAGATAGGGATCGGTCTCTTTTCCCCAGGTAACAAGCGACAGGACAAGAGGCAATAGCCTCAAGTTGCTCCAGGGGAGGTTTAGACTGGATAGCAGGAAAAATTCCTTCACTGAAAGGTTTGTCAGGCTGCCCTGGTGGTGTTTAAAAGATGTGTTACTTGGCAACATGGTTCAGTGTTAGGTTACCAGTTGGACTCAATGATCTTAAAGGTCTTTTCCAACCTAAACAATTCTATTGTTCTATTCTGTGATCACGTAAGAGCAGAATACATTGATGCCAGCCTTGGAAACAACTGTGTGTTTACTTTCAAAAGCACATGCTCTCTGGATGTTTATCCAATTTTAGTTTATCTACATCAGATGTACAGCAGCTAAGCACCACTACTATTTAACGTGGCTTAAATCAATCTTCCCAGAAAGCATGGTTTTAAATTTCAGAACAGACTGTTACTTTCAGACTTACCTTTTTCTGTTTTGTCTTGTTCGGTTTCTTTTTCACTTTTCCCTGGAATATTAAAAATATAATTTCATTGGAATAAATTTACGTTTATGATAAAAAAAGAGATACAAGAAAATTAAAACTTATACTCAAAACATAATTGAGCCAACAGGACTTCTTTGTTTCATTTTTATTTTTTAAAGAAACCATAGATAACTTTCTGAACTATATAGTTACCTTTAAGGTCTTTCCCTGCAGATTCTTCAAATATTACATTATCGCTTTGATCACAAAATATTTCCTAGAACTTCCTCTCTAGCTACTTAGTAGATTTTGGTGATACACATTCACAGTATTGCAAGAAAGAAAATCTGTTAAGTAATTAAAAACTACTGGGAACACCAGCTTAATACATACATTTGATCAAAATATGAAAAACAAAATCGATTGGGAACCAAACTCTCATTTTCAATTGGGCACTTGAAAGCTTTTGTTTTATTAAACTTTTAAAATAATTTAACAGCTGTTCTGTAAACATTTGACTGCACAGGTAAATGTTAAGACAGTTAAGACAGTCTGTAGCAAAGACAGACTACATCCTGTACCCAAATCACATATGTGTGTATCATGAAGGTAATAGATACATAAACATCTTTTTCCCTCCTCTAAACACTATTTGATCCTGCCTTACTCTATAACATATAGAGCATCTTGCTTCACAATTACAACACTCTTATTCTGTTTCCAATTTTGTCCCCGTAAGCTTCCAATATTTCATCCTAATAAACTTAGAGAACACTAAACAGGGAGGTCGGTTGGCTTTTTAGTTAGTTATTTTCCTCTCTAATATATACTGTTTAATTTTGAGGTATATATATATATACATATATAAAAAAAATAATTTTCTTAAATTTCCAAGTCATTTAGAGATACCTTGTCTGAATATTCAGTCTTCACTGTTTTTCAGACTGATTGCTCAGAAGCATTACAGTGTGAATAAAATACACCATTTAAAATGCTGGAAAACATTTCATTTTTTCATGGAGAAACTGGATTATGCACATACTTGAAATCAAATTATTTAACATTCTAATTTCACCCTTTACTACAGATTGACAACTTCTGCTACTGAGAGTATGGACACTACAACCACTACAACTCTGATTTACATTCAGCACAAGACAGAATGAGTATGAACTTGATTATGATATGGTAAATTAAATAAATATGGTCACACTGAAAGTCATTCACCCCTTCAATTACATCATGAAATCTAGATTGTCAATTAAATAGAAAGAAATTACAAAAGATGTATAGAGTCAATTACATACTAAGGGATAATTATTACTATAAGAGTATATTAATGGAAGTGTTATGCAGTACTTCCTAAAACACTGACTTTTCTATTTTTTTGTGCATTACACACAATAAAGAAAATGGTTGTGTATATCTGTACATCATTAGAAACACTGCATTTTAAAAAGAGCAGTAATGCAGGTCCAGATGAGATAACAGTTTATATTTATAGTTTTTACACAGAACAGTTTATATACTCATATTTCTATTGTTTTAATCAGCTCGCAATACCATGATACAGCATGCTACTTAGCCATCCATTTTCCCTGTATCTTCTCCCTTATCAGCAACACCGATATTCTCACCTCACCTCACCTCACCTCACCTCACCTCACCTCACCTCACCTCACCTCACCTCACCTCACCTCACCTCACCTCACCTCACCTCACCTCACCTCTTCTCTCTACTTCATTCTCGGTCACTCAGTAACCTGCTTCCACACATCCTGGACATTCATATTATTTCTGCAACTTCTTTGTCATCGCAGGAAGAATAAGGTATAACCTCATCACTCTAAAGCCTGCTTCCACCTCCTGTTTCTTGTCTGGTTTCACATTTCTTTACTACTGAGACTCATGCAACATACAACCTACAGTTCTCTATACCTATTTATGCACTAGAATCAGTTCTCCAAACTCTCTCTCGGACTTTTTTCAGTCTGGATTCTGCTAAATTAGCTGCCATTGATTTTACCAAAGCCTCTCCAATGATCTTTTAATACTCCAGCTTCTCCTTCTAGGTAGCTGCTTCTGAAATCCATCACAACTTGATCATGTTAGCTCTGAAGATCTTGTTTCTCTCAGCTCTCACCACACTTAACTAAGAATTCACTTCAGTAACATATTCAGCACATATTATTTTTTCCCTCCACACTGATCCCTAGGATACTTCGATGGTGCAAAAGGTTTTAATTATGCTATTCTGATAAAGGCTTAAAAATGTGCTGTCTCAAAGACAGGGATATGATAATAAATTTTAAGACTATTTTGTCATCAACTAAAATTAATTGTAGCTCAAACAAACAAACAAACAAAATCTTAGCTCTTCAAACCCCTTTCATCTTTTACTCAATTTCTCCATTTCCAGCAAAACAAACCTAGATCAAAATCACAGACAAAACAGCTTTAGCTAAGCTGTACAGGCTAGGACTGCTATCACCGTGTAACAAATGCACCAGGTATTCCCAAGAAGGTTTCTACGATGAAAAATAAATTTATTTTTCATATTACAATACATCTAAATGTTTGTGGCTGCATGTGACAATGACCCAAGTCACAACTAAAAATGTATTTCAGACGTTGTAGATTTTACATGAATCTCAATCAACACTATAAGTGTACAATACAATTTATTTACATACACATAACTTCTGAAACATGTAAAATTACAAATGATATTCAGTAAAAACATTAAATTTTTCAGTATCTTTCCTATATCAAATCTTAGCTATTTTCTTTATGCCTTAGACAGAAGTGCCATGATATGATATCTTTTCAATTACAGAGAATGTTAAAAAGTCACTTAAATTGTAGTAAATTGTTGGTATTAAAATACAACTTTAGCATGCTACTCTTTGCTAATTGGTATTTCTTCCTTTGATTTCCAAAAAAAGCAACTGAATCCAAGATTTCATAGATTCACTGAAATATAATAAGAGGCAATGTAGTAATGTGAAAATACAAGGAAAATGTAATCTCTTGACATTTTCTTAGACTAACATTCAGAAACATTGGATTATTAAAGTTATGGAGGTCTTTGAAAACTGAAAAGGTTGAAGGAATACTTTTGCTTTCAGAGAACTGTGCAGACCTTACTAGGTTTCTAATCTAACTATGGACCATAACCATAACATTCTGTATGAAAGGTAGATATCACACTTTCCCCGGACGTTTGTGTTTGTTAAAGAATGCTATCGCATCCATTTTAAGTTACAAACAGAAATTACGTATCATGGGAAAAATTCAGGCCAAACTGGTCATGGAATGTTAATGCTCCTAAAGGGCAAACAGAATGCAATTATAGAAGACACAGACCTTAGAGTACTGTCTCTTTCCTTCACATAACAGCAGTCAGAAATAAAATTAATTTTACTTGCTATATTTCCTCCTCCTTGTAAATAATGTTTTCAAATATATTTTTAAATATTCAAATTTATAATTTAAAAAATAATATTAATTAGTGGATGAGTCAATTATCCCTATAGTTAATATCTACCACATTTAGGAATAAATAATGACACTAGAAAGACAAAGATATTCTTCTGTGTTTTATTGCAGTCAAACAATAAAATGGATTAAATATACATTTTTCAATAGTCCACTTGACCTTGCTCAGCTTGGCATATTTTTGTAAACATGAAGCACGTAAAATCACATACCCAGTTACAAAATACTTAAAATTTGATCACAGCATAATATACTCTCACAGTCCCATAATTCTACAAATAGACTGTCACTGGTATATAAAAAGTCCTCCATTCACCATTCTAAAATTATTACCAAGATTCCTCACAAAATATGGCTTTGTAAAAATTATTGCTCTGCAATTCACAATCACAGGTAATTTTACTACAACATCCCATCCCAAAACACATCACAGTCTAAGAGTATTATTGCTTTCCTGAAAAGTCTAAAGAAATCACTTTGGGACATCTGTATTTGTTGATCAGACGCAACACTCACGTGGAGTCTCACCGAAATCCCAATACCAAAAAAAAGGCAAGCATATATGATGCCCCTTTCACTATAAAGTTAAGCATCTAGAAACCTGACTTCAAAACAGTGTTACAGAACTTGAAAATCTCCCTGTAAACCCAAAGGCAACCACTATTAGGGTTACCAAATTGACTTTTCTTTTTATAAATTTATCTTACTTTATTTCTCCTAAGCTCCTGTATCAGGCTTGGCAACTTCCTAAAATCACAGCAATTATTCCTGAGCCAAAAAGGAACACATGCAAAATACCAAAGAATAAAATATGTCTCCATAATTGTGGAACAGCAGCACAGAACAGGTAAAAACCACACCTGTTATATTAAAATCCTAAATCACTCACAGTCTAAATTTCAGATGTACCATTTATAAGAGTATTTATAACTGTAGGTTGAATTTCCGAAGTTTTTTTCCTTTTTTTTTAATAAAGTTTGCAAATCAAGTATTTATACTCACTTGAGTTTTTAAATAATTTACTCAATGTAAAGCTAACTAAATCTAGCTTTGAGATCATTATATTGGGAGGCAAACTAGAAAAATTTTACTAAATTCAACCTGATTCCAGCAACTCAGTTTTGTTGCAATCTCTACTAACATCCTGACAGACTATCATGTAGTCTCCAGACAGTTTTGCTTTATAAATCAAATGGGCATAAATAAAAAGTTCTAATTCACGCATCTATGGTTTTTGAAAAGTGTAATTTAGTAATCTGTCCTTTTATTAGTATAAATTAAACACACACATTTTGCATCTTGTTAGGCTATTTTAAAAATAACCTGAAATTCATGTAGTGTAACTGTTGACATAACATCAGTGCAAAGAGAGATAAGTCAAACTTCACAGCATAGTGTGTGCCTGATTAGTGTTTTTAATAAAATGCAATTAGTCTGTATGCTATATCAGCAGTTATAAAACATTTAAAAATTCATAATATGTTTCATTTGACCAAACTGCTCTGTACATACTGTACGAATCCACAACAAAAGATATATATTAAAATCTGAAAAAATGTACTTGCTGCTACGTTATAAATAGAATATTAACAATTGCTTAAACAGTACATGAAATGCAGCTCAAAGTTGCAACTCTGTCACAAACACAGAAGAAAAAAAATAATGAATTCACTAAACTTGACCAAGGGAAAAAAAATATCAGACAGGAATGTAAACTAAACATCCAAATGTTAAAAATGCTTACTAAAATGACAGTTGGCTAAAACCCAGTTACAACATCTTAGTGTTCATTCCCCAAACCCTGAACTGCTTGGTAATTACATCATAAGATCTATTACAACCATCTGCTCCCCTTTTGTAGCGTATGGTTAGGGCTGGTCCTCCTGATGTAGGGACTTTTCTTTTGAAGCTTTAAGTATCTGAAAAAATAAGGGGAAATCTATATTAAAGGACCAACCAAAACACAACTCACTCTAAAACAACAACAAAAAAAATCTTAAATGGTAAAAAATGCAACTTTGTATCAGACTAGTCAGTTTGAGAAAGCTATAATTTCTAGGAGCTACCTTAAGGAATATAGACAAAGTTGCCATATAAGGTGGGAAATATTTATCTACACAGTAAATTTTTTTATTACCATATGGCACTTCATTTACCTTGTAAAGGAAATCTAGGCCATGTCCCAAACACATTAAAACAATTTTGTTTGATTTGGTGGGTTTTGTTTGGTTTTTTCTTTGTTTGTTTGGTTTTTTTGGTTTGGTTTTGGGTTTTATTTGTTAAAGTCAAAGACAATTGGAAAAGAGGAGCCAGGGAATAAGGAAGGGTCAAAGTTCTAAAGTGGAAACTTCTCTACACATAAGGGATTTCAGCAGTTGGTAAAATAAATGTAGGGTTATAAAAATGTCAAGGATACAAGGTGAAGGGGAGAAGTGGGACAACCCATAGATATTTTATATCTGAAATCATATAAGATGGATCAAAATCCAAATACAGAGAGCAATGGTATCCCAAAACCTGTGATATGTCTCCCCTAAAATATGCATCCAACAAGAATCACTCTATCACAACCACTGCAATTTATGTGCCAGTGTAAAACAGGATTAGTAAAAAAAATCTGAAGCTGGTCTATCACATCATTCAAGTGCATTAGTTACAAAAATGTGGATTATAACTGAAGCTAAAGTAGGCTACATCTGGAAAAGAATATCAGTAATAATTTTAGAAATAAACTCAGAGAATTGGAAAACAGTACCTACAGATACCCAAACATGTATTTTAGTAGTATTACTTCTTTTTTCTGATATACCCTGAAGTCAGAAAAAAAAACTTTTGACTTGCACTTCAGCATATTCAAATCCCACACCCAATCTCTTCACTGGTGATGTGAGAATGTTCCTCACAGCTAAATTCAGCCTCTGAACTATTTCCTGTTTTCTCTCTAAAAAAAACTAAATTCCTATGTTTTACCTTATGATAAAACAGTTGCTCCCAACCTGACAGAAACTGTTGAAATGCAGTTGCATCCATTTATAAAACTGAAGAATAAGGACTCTATAATGATATTCTGAATTTCTTTTACACTGCCTGAAGTTATGTATATTATATAAATAGATGTAAATATACGTAAAGAGTGCATATGTGTATAAAGGGATTCTTCATTCAGAAGAGAGTTCTTGGTTGTCTGTAGTACAGTGAACTTCAATATTATTATTGCTGAGAGAACAGGAAATATTAGACTTTGAATACCTAAACACAAAGACTTCTGACAATAAAATCTCTGTACTGAATCACAAATAACATATTAAAAAATCCCTGGTAAACATGAATGTCATACTCTAAGAGGAATATTTGAGAGTAATGTTGCTTTTGAACTGAAAGATTCATATACAAAAAAGGCAGATAAACATACTTAATAGCAGAAATAAATAATAATTTAATACTTATTTTTATTCATGGTCAACAGTCATTTACGTCCTCTGTTTCTTTTCTCAGTTTTCTGAGATGCTACTTGAATTCTACTTTTTGTGCAGAAACAATAAGAGGTAAGGGTAACCTTGTGATTTAAGAAGTGTTGCACTAGTTTTGGAAACAAATACAGGTAAAAAAAAATAAATCTAAAAGATCTTTTGAAAGCATCAGGAATGCATAGTATTTCAAACTAGAACATGCTATTATTCTAACAGTGTTTGAAAACAGTAAAGACTCTTTTAGTATCACAGTACAACAAAAGGAGAGTGGACAACTATGTTCATTTCCACCATCGTATTTGAAAATACATCTGCAATTAAAGGAATGATCATCCCTCTGTACTCAGCACTGGTGAGGCCACACCTCAAATCCTGTGTTAAGTTTTGGGCCCCTCACTACAAGAAGGACATTGAGGTACTGAAGCATGTCCAGAGAAGGGCAACAAAGCTGATGAAGGGTCTTGGAGCATAAATCCCATGAGGAGTGGCTCAGGGAGACGGGGTTGTTTAGCCTGGAGAAAAGGAGGGTCAGGGAAGACCTTATCACTCTCTACAACTACCTGAGAGAAGGCCATAGCCAGGTGGGGGTTGGTCTCCTCTGCCAAGTAACAAGTGATAGTTAAGAGGAAACAGCATTGAGTTGTGCCAGAGGAAGATTAGATCAGGTATGAGGAAAACTATCTTCCCCAAAAGGGTGTTTAAGCACTGGAAGAGGCTGCTCAGGGAAGTGGTGCAGTCACCGCCCATGGCAGTGTTTAAAAGACATGGAGATGTGGCACTCAGAGACATTGCTTAGCAGTGCACTTGGCAGTGTTAGGTTTACAGTTGGACTTGACCTTAAGGATCTTATTCAACCTAACTGATTCTATGATTCTATTGGTATATTTTGGAAATCATCACTACTGTACAAAACACCTAAGATTATTTTTATTAATTTATTGCTGCAAGACTGAGCCATAAATTACAGCATAGAAGTGACAGAAATGTGGTCCAAAACTTAAAGATTTCAAGTTGGCACTTGCATTCTGACTTTAATTTTAAAATAGTATATGTAAGCCAACAGATCATCTCAATATCTTCATATCAACACAACTGGCACTGTGCAGTGGAAACTTTCTAACAGTCCAGTAAGGGCCTTTCTGTTATTTTAACTTTAAGCAGAAATATTTTCTGAGAGAAAACATGTTTTCCTCTTCTACCATTACAACTTAATGCACAACAAACCAAACCAAGACTACCTCTGCTGAACTTCTTGCCACGCTGTCAAAGCAGCTACTGTTTGTTCTTATACTGATTATAAGCTTTGGTTAAGAATACTCCATATTCATTATGAAACAAAACATTTTAGATAAGGTGTCTATTAATTGATATCTATGGCTTCAAACATTTCAACACACCATATGGCTGTTATAAACAGATTACAAAGACCTCACAGACAACACAGTTACATATTGATACGAGCATTTCAAATCACCTCAGTTAAGGTTCAGCAAATAAATTAAAATATTACCTAAAACATGCCTTCAATCTGTACTTGGCAGCCACAAAGCTCTCCTATATTTTTTCACTTCTCTGGTTACTTTTGGCACAACCAAGAGCCAAACAGAAGTTTCCTTTACTGCATGGAAAAAAAAAAAACCACCCCAGAACCCTCTGGGCACCACACCTCATAAGAGCTTCTGCACAGTGCAAAGATTAACTAACCCAGAAAGGTGCTCAGGCTAATCAGAACAAAGCAGAAATACAGCCGTCAGTGCTCTTGGATTGCAGCTCCACTGATCTACTGCCCCGAGATACAACTCTCACTCAACACAATTTGTTACAACTAACAAATTAGCACCTTATAATAATTAACTCCAAAAAGCAGTGAAATGTAACAATATATAGTCTCCAAATTCCGAAGTCACTTAGCTACTCTAAAAATAGTTTTGGTCAACTCTATGCTTACTATTGTCAGGCAATAGATGGAAGAACTGGAAGTGCTCTTGTTCTTGACATCAGTTATGTCAAGAAAAATGCAATGGCACAACAAAAAAAGTCCTGTTTCCAGAGCATTGCCCAAAGAATGTACCACAGCCAAACTCCAATAGATCTGACTGACACTCAGAGAATTAACAGTATCACTATCCACGGAGAGGAAGTATGCACATATTCTGAGACCTGAAATTGTTGTATTTCCCTTTACAGCAAAAATGTCCAGCTCTATCTGAAATCATTACAAATTAAGTTGTAAATTAAAACTACTAATAGTTTATTTGGAATACTTTCATTTAACCGAGTAATTACTGCTACCACTGATCAAGTACACCAAAAAAATTATCGCTTCAAAACCAAAAAGCAACTTCGACATTAATGATATCCCTTCATGCCTCTCCACAAAGTAATTTGTTTATAAATTTCCATGTAGCTAGAGCTTCATTTTTTCTTTTCTAAAAAATCCCAAGCATTTAAAATTGACTTACCCACTCGAACATCATTTGAATAATCCTCAGCTTGAACAGGTATTTCTGTAAATCAAAAATGCAAAAATAACTCAAGCTGGACTTCTCCCTTAATATTTTTAAAAGCCACTTTTTTCTCTTATGTTCAAAACAGTGACCTATCAAGACCGCTCTGTAATACTACTTTTGCAGAAGTGGAATGCAAATTTCTTCCTCAGATGAATTTTTCCAAGGGAAGATTAATACTTAAGGAGGCCAATCAGTAAATTGCAGAACTGCACAGTTTCAAAAATGATACTTCAAAATTCTGAAATTATACTACCCAAAGCACAAATCTCCCAGTTTCACATGCTACTGCAGTACAGGCTTAGAAAAATTCATATACTTATTATGTTTCCAGCTGCAATTGTGAAATACTAGACCTCAAAATTAAATTATTTTTAATTCCATATGTATGTTTAAATTAGACATGTCACACATCACCAAGTGTTATTACTACTAACAGACTGAAGGCTGCACACAGTCCCTATTAATGCAGTCAGGCTCACCAGAAAAAACTTCACAATAGCCAGGATGTTGGTTGTAGACAATAAGAAGAATCAGAGAGGGAAATACATTCTCTGACTTGGGAAGCCCATAAATAAAGCTCAAAGTTGGGGAAACTTGATTTCTCACATATACTCTCTTTCCCAAGTATGCACTACTGACTGGCTGGTGGAAAACAGAGCAAAGAAAAGAAATCTTCAGTTTTATCATATGGCCTAATATGGTCATTTTTATCAATGTAAGTTTTTCTGAGCTGGTAACACTCTCAACTTCTAAAACTGAAGAGTGCTTTGAAAGCCATTAAAATATTGTCATTAAAAAACCCAAGGTGACAGATTCCAACAACACAGATATGTTTGTCCTCAAAAGAAAACAGCTGCAGGAAAAGTTGTATTTTTATTGCAGCGTAAAATTCTATTTCACAATATTTATAATTCTTAATTTTCTTTTAAGTGGCAAACCCATGTAAAACATAACATACAAACCTGATTCCTCTGGTTCAACGGCCACATCGTCTTCTGATTGCTTACTTTCTACTGTTACAAAGAAAATAAGTGTTAAAATTCATAAATAGTACATTTACAATTTTGTTCTTATCCCCCAGCACCCACACAATCAAATCAGTATCAAATGAGAAGGAAGAGAAACTGCTGTTTCCCCATTTAATTACATTAGAATGCATTTTTCAAACAGAAAATCTAAATAAATATAGCATCAAATGCTACACACTGTGCTCAAACTAAACTACTTAGATCACTTAGCTCTAGCTGACATGTTTGAAAAAAACTTGCTTAATGACATTTTTAACTTCTTAGAATAAATCTTTAAATCACACAGTAGTAATTTAAAATTTCCCAATACCAATACAGTAAACAAAAATTTACAGCTTAATCTTTTTGAGTGGCAACGTTGAAAATTAACACAGAGCTCCAATTTGAGGAATGGAGTAAGTACTTCATATGAAGTTCAACAAGGCCAAGTGCAAGTTCCTGCACTGGGGTCAGGTGCTGGAGCATCTCTCCTAAGAAGACAGGTTGAGAGAGCTGGGTTGCTCAGTCTGGAGAAGAGAAGGCTGCAGAGAGACCTTATCACAGCCTTTCAACAAGGGATCTTGTGAGAAAGACAGAGAGACACTTTTTACCAATGCCTGCAGCAATAGGACAAGAAGCAATGGTTTTAAAGTGAAAGAGGGTAAATTGAGATTAGACATACGAATGAAATTTTTTATTCTAAGTGTGGTGAGACACTGGAACAGGTTGTCCAGAGCACTAGAGATGCTCCATCATTGGAAGCGTTCCAAGTCAGACTGGACAGACCTTCGAGCAATCTGACTTAGTGAAAGATGCCACTGGCCATGGCGGAGTTTGAACCACGTGATGTTTAAACGTCTCTTCCAACCCAAACTGTTTGATGATTCTACATACACATTTATCTGCTTTGTTTTTCATTTGCTTGCTTTTTAATTATATTAATATAATTTTTTTCTTTCACAAACTATAAAAACTCATACCTGAAACATCTTTAGCAACATCAAAATCTTCAGTAACTTTATCTATAATAAAAAGGGAAAAGTATATAATGAACTTGCTTTTTTTTTAACGTCAGATTTTCAAATGCATATATTTTATCAAAAGACTTTAAAATCATAGTTACAAAATATATACCTGGCTCTGTGGCTTCATTCACCTCCTCTGGAAGGTCGTGAATAGCTAAAAAAAACCCATTTGATTCAGAACAATAATGAAGTCAAGCCCTCAATTTATGGAATTTACACACAGCACAAAATAACACAACTAGCGCACAGACATGTTTACCTGTGAACAGTAAACTGCTATTGACAAACAGGAACTTTGATGAATTTAAGGGGAAAAAAAACACTAGAGAATTCCTTTACTTCATTCTAAACTAAAGAACTGTAGTTTTTTTTCAATCAGCTGTCTGAGATGACTCCAAAGAGCTGCTATTTCAAGACAACAAAGTATACAGGACGCAGAGAGGGTACTGCAGACAATTTTTAATTGCTTCTGTTAATTAGATAAATGTACCCACAAAAGTCTGCATCAAAGTAGAGTTAGTATTGGCAGCCTGTACATTTTGAATGATCTTACGTACTGGTTGCAAGGTTCTAAGCAAAGATCACAGCAGGCAGCAGGTTGATTGTCTATGCTGAATTACTGTGTTCCAACTGTCCACTAAAAGCCTCAGATGCCCCACTTCGTGTCACTTGAGACCTTAAAGATGAATCCTCAAGGACAGCATCTTAAAAGGTGTCTCAGCTCATAGTCAAAAACGTAACAAACCTTTGCCGTAACTGGCAACTGTCATAACTGAAGCTCACAGAGATTATATATCTCAATATATATAAACAGCAAGATTAAGTTGATAATTGTTACGCTAACTTGCTTAAAATATTTCTCTGATTTTGAAAACAATATGTACTCTAATAACACTTATTTAGAGGTATTTCTACTTGACATATGAAACAAAGCTTTTCTAATACGTTTCATAAATAGAAATATATACAGATGGCGGGATGTGTGTGGGAGTTACACACACCCCACTCACACATATACATATACATACATACATATGCATTTATATATATACGTATATACCTGTATCTTGAGTCTCAGTCTGCTTTTCATGTTTGGGTTCTGAAAGAAAAGAAAAAATAAAGTTGCTGGGTGGTTTATAGGAAAAAATATCCTAAAAATTTGGTTGTTAAGCATCCAGGTAACTTCTTTAATGATAAAGTCCTTAAAAAACTTTCCCTACTTTGGGGTCTGAATAGATAGATGAACCCTCCTGGGAGCTTGTAGTAGAAATTTTACACACACACAAAAAAAATATACTTAATGTGAACATACTGCTGAAATTTCAAGCCTTTCTATCTACATAGGTGAAATGCTGAAAACAATGACAACATTAAATCCATACTTCTGTACAGTTGCTATAATTTTTCTACGTTCTTAATATTTGAGTAGAGCCAGCCTAATTTTTGTAATTTTGAAGAAATAGATTAAGAATACGAAATATTTAATTTTAGATAATGTCTGAAAATAGAGGAAAATGCTATCCATTGTCTGAATTTTCAATATACACTCACTGTAAATTTTAGAACTAAAGAAGTTCAAAGTTCATTCAGTGTTTTGAATGATTTCATTATCTTAACAGGTACTAACTCTCATCAAGGTCAATTGGCCAATTACGTAAGATTTAAAAAACCTACCAACCAAACAAAAACCCCTCACGTCTTTATAATAGTGATTCATCTTATAAGGTACTAATGGTCATATGGCTCTCCCTACATTCCTTAGAAAAAAGTTCTTACAGAATACCCTTAAAAAACCATCCAAAACTCTTTAATGAAAATCTCAAACTTGCTTTCCTTCTCCAGTTTCATTGTTACAAGCTGTAGCAAACTCTTCATAAAACTACTGAAAGTTGTGTACAATAACTGAGTTCTTCTATTCCAAATTTTATGATCAATCTATTTACACACTCCACTGTAGGCTATCATACACTTATTTCAACTACAGAATTTTTAGCATTAGCAATAACCTCAGTGATGTGATTACAGGAACCACGATCCTATTAGAGCTGGTCCCTGACTGAATTAAGAACCAAGTCATACAAAGCAAGAGTCACAAAAGAAACTGAACTGCTCTAGCCAACAATCCTCTTGGCACTGCCCTCAGCTTTCTGACAATTCCAGAAAGCACCAGAATTTAAGAAAACATTTCATCAGAGGGTCTTGCCAGAGGAGGGGAAGCATCTGATAGAGATGGGGAAGATACACTGGCTCCAGAATAGAGAAGCTTACACTTCTGTTGACTTCACAGACAATTGCATCTCTTCTTGAGGGAGTGAACTGCAGTTTTGGAGCCCATGCCAAAACCACAAGCTTTACATTTGAGAGAAAGAACTTCAGATCTCCACAATGGTCTCCATCCCTTCTTTGACTTTAAAAAACAGGTGCTAAAACTGCTTTTCTCCAGAAACAGAGCAAATCTGTTTCACTTTCAATCCAACCAAAAGCGTGGAAAAAGGTACAAGAAAGATGGACCCATAGACAAAAGGGATGGAAAAGGGGTACAACTGCTAAAATGGTGTCTAGCACATGAACGTGAACATGCCCTGAAACTTGACAGACTGAACTCCTAAGGAAAAACTGGTGTGTCACAGAAAGGCAGATCAGATCAGCTGACCCGTCTTTTTCTTCCACACTGCTCCAGGTTGGAGCTCTGAAATTCCTCCAAGAAGTACAAACACATGGTGCTTTCTCTTACAACCAGAACGTCTTCAAAGGAGAACTTGAAAGCAAGGCAAAATTATGCCATAAAAAAGTGAACTTTTATCAAGAGAAAAGCAGTTTGCCACAGATTATGTTGAACTGTGGGAATAATTTATTGCATAAAGAAGTCTGGCAAGCAAAGAACAATAAATTTTTTGACAGTCACCTGCTACCTTAGAATTTCCTTTGGAGAAAAATTCCTACTCTTGTTATCATCCTAATCAGAGGATCTGATGCTATTTAGAACTCTCATTGTAGCACACAGAGGCAACTGCACATGAAACCACTGCTTGCTGAAGCACATGTATTACTCACAAAATAGAGTGATTCACTGTTATGGTGCCAGGGTGCCAGAAGAGACTGCAGAATATGAAATAGTTTTGCAACTGATTTTATGAAAAGCTGATGTAAATTACTTCAGTTACCTCCCTGATCAAAAAGCTGAGCTTACTCAAAAAGACGATATAAATAACGGTTCCCGAGGGCATGGAAGCATTTTCTGTCCATGTCACCACTACATATGAAGAAGCATGAAAGTAAAGATTAAGAGTTGCACTTCTTCATATCTAGGTGCGAGAAGCAAGAGGAAGTGATTCCTGTCTGGGAACTGATTGTAAAATAAATATCTCCTGGAAAGGTGGGTAAAAAATCTAGAGGTCTCTTGGTTTTTCATCCTATTAATGCCAAGACATTTTGTCAAGGGCATCATCACTGAGGCAAATAATTATTTTCTGCAGACTGCGAAAGACACAGACTATGCGCTAAATACACCTTTGGGCCACTAAAAGTCTTCTGGCATCGAAAGACAGACTTAAAAATGATAAAGCATTATCGGTAGGCTTTCTTATACAGGTCATGAAGCCATCTAAAAATTACCTATAATTCAGAATCAAAATATTCTTAAATCATTTCTATATACAGCTAACTTCTACAGTGCAATTTTGGGATCTTGTTATGGTTTCCTTGCTTTTAAAAAAAAATTTAAAGACATTACTTTCTTCTCGACATCACATTAACTTCAACATCTCTGACATATATAAATTCTTTTTTATCCACAAACACTTCTATATGATTTAAAATACCAATATCCATTCTCCTGAAAATTCAACCCTCAAAATATTATTCTGCCCATCGGGGTGATATTAAAGAGAAGTAGTATTCATATAGCTCTTAGTATTTTTTCAGAGTATAATCAAAACATAGATGTAATAACTCATTAAGGAATGAAAGTTATCTAAGAGCTCCAATGTTTTGAGTGTTGGGTGGGTTTTTTGCATGATTGTTTGGTTTGGGGACAAAATTCAATGAAACTTCAATAAAAAGAAATAAGACTTTGGACTATACCTGTGTAATGTTCCACAGCATCTTCTAGTACTACCTCAGAGTCACCTTAAATAAAAATATTTTACATTTCCATCAATTTTCATGCAATAGCTAAATAGCACATGAGAACTTAAATAGTCACATATTTAGCACAAGAATAACAGAACTAAACATACTGAGTTAATACTACAATATTTTATTTGAAAGTAACAGTTGAATTGTAAAACACATCCAGGAGACGTACCATAAGACAAAGAATATAATAAGTTCATGCATATTTGTATTTGAGTTTAAAATTAAGAACATAAGTGGGTCTTGGACAATCAATCCATTGATTAGACTGCAAGACTCTTGACAGAACAAGATTGTAAGTATTTGTGGATTGGACTCATTAAGTGTTATGCTCATAAATGTAATGGTAACACAGTGGTAAAAAAATCAGGCTTACTTGAAACAAGCTAAAAACGGTTTGAAAATAAAACTGTGATGAAATAGTCAATATGACATACTACTTTGTAGCAGATTTAAAAAATGTGAGATTATATCATCATCTGAAGTAATGAAAATTTACAAACCTGGAGCTTCTGGATCACTTACTCTTCCCTCCATAGATACAACATAATCATCTGAAGCTGTAAATTAAATATGAGTAAATATTTTGACATAAAAAATAGGATTTTTAAAAAATATTTGATTGTTTTAACTTGCATCCATAATGCATCTGTCAATAGCTAAATGTAGCTCCTTAGTTGAAAACTGACAAATTAAAACTTTACAAACTGATACAACTTGACACAACTTGGCAATCTAATGGAAGGTCTTGGGTCACTCTCTCTTGTAGTCCTCTGTTATACAATCTGTATGAAAAGTAGATCCACGTGAGCCATTACTCTCCAGCATATTTTTTAATATTTTTTTAATATGAATGAAAAATGTAAACTTCCTCTATCTTCAAATTCTACAGTATCTTCTTAACTGACATGTAGGAGCCTGACTTCATGATGATCCACAAAAGACAAGGTATGAGCCAGAAATCAGACCTTGCAAAATATGTACTTCACTTCTGGCATCACAGATTTACAGCAATTTACTTCTTTTCACTACCTAGCTAAATATGTGTATTATTCTCCTCTATGACTACAATTATTTGCAATGTTGTTGATACACTTGGTATGACGCATCTGACAAAACACGATACTGAAGGTAAGAAACTAACCATCACAGCTTGGATTCTAAACCAGTAACTGGAAAGCAGTAATCTCCTACATAGTTTGGAATAAACAGTGTTAGCTGATCAAACAAATTTTTTTTTCTACTTTTCTGTCATATTTGGCATCAAACAGGACTGCAAAGTCCAGAATTAACATTGAGTCAAAAAGAAGAAGCCTAGTCTGAACATAAATCCATGTCTAATGTAAATGGAAAAGGCTGTCTGTACTATAAATAAACACTGTTGGAATCCTGAAGAAAATATTTATCAGACAGCAGGTAAACTGTAATATCGACCTAATGCTTCTACATAATGGGAAAGATGAGCTAATGCCATTGTACATGATATCAAGCACAATCGGAAGATGACTATAAGCTAATTGGATTAGTCCAGGCAAAATTTCAAAAAGCTTTCAAGATGTATTAAGGTGAGAAGAAAGACAGCACAAGGATAGTTCAGAATGATGTCCTTGTCGTTGACTCACTCTCTGATAGTAGAGTCAGACACAAAGAAACAAACAGTCCTGAAGAAAAAGTTAAAAACTGGATGCTTCTGATGCCAAGAATAACAGTCTAGAAGAACTTTAGTGTTGCAAACTGTAAGGCAGTAATATAAGCAATAAATCTCATTCTCACTTTCTTAGACTGTACAAACCACAGATTTCTTGCCTAGCCAGATCCCAATCATACACAACAGCCAGAAACACACAGTAAATATAAAGTTTGTGCAGCAATGAAAGCAAAGTTCCCATTCCAGTCATCCACTAATAAAGACTTTCAACAGCAAGTATGATACAGTCACCTCAACGTAAAAATATCCATGACAATACAAGAAGTTATTTAGAGAAAAAAAATTCAAAATTACATATTTCTAAACCAGTCTAACAGTTTCTATTTTTCTTTCTCATATAATTTGTTACACTTAGGCAGAAAACCAGTATTACTTAGTTTAGAAAAATAAAATGATACCTGGAACTTCATAGGGCTCAGACTCCACTGCTTCAAGACCATCTGCCAAAAGATCAGCATCTGAAAAACAAATATGTTTATACAAATTGTAACATTTTTATATTAATACACAATACCACAAACCCTATAACAGACATTATGTAAGAATGGAGTCAAATTTCTAAGTAGAAATTCTAAGCAAATTTCTTTTAATGGCAGCAAGACGTACACAGACTGAAAAAAATAACACAATTTTGTTCTTCTATATAATATTGAGAATGTGTTTATATGAATAAACTCTATACACACTTGCTCAAAAAAGATGACTATCCACAGAAAGTTTTGTGTAAATGTGAAGGAATAAGAATATATTTACTTTGCCTTCTTAATTGCAATGATATAAAGTGGAATTTGAGTATCTCCTCTAGTGTCCTACTTTAAGCTGAACTGTGGATGAATAAAAGAGGTACAGAAACAAAGAGGTATAATAGACCCAGATTGAAAAGAATTACTTCTGTTGTGAAGAAAGAATCTCAGTGTACTTCCAGTAATTAAAACTTTCAGATGACATCTGTTACATGAGTTTTTCAGAGATGTGTTAAGAGATGTGTAAGATTTCCAGTAGAGCAGATAAAAAGCATTCAGAAATCATTTGCCCCAGGTTGGATTAGATCATATGATTCTGCTTAAATATTTTTACTATAATTTTTATCATCCTGTCAAAGCCACAAGGCAGCAAGATATGAGCATCTTTTTTATATGATGTCTTCATCTCTGCAGGACTTACAACGTAATTGATGCATAACAATCTCTTAGAGAGACACATTTGAATGGAAGAATAGGTCTGTCTAGAAAAGGCTCTGTTAATAAACTCTTAAAATTTAGTTAAATAAACCAGGAATTCCAGAAGCAGACTCTATACAGGTATTACAGATGGGGAATGGACAGATTGAGAGCAGCCCCGCCAAGGAGTTGAGTGTGCTGGTAGGTGAGAGGCTGGACATGGAACACCTCTTCTCTGAGAAAAGTTTGAGGGAATTGGGGTTCAGCCTGAAGAACAGAAAGCTCTGGGGTGACCTTATGGGAGCCTTTCAGTCCAATAAGGACAAGAAAGCTGAAGAAGAACTTCTTACAAGGGCACGTAGTGATAGGACAAAGGTTGGGCTTTAAACTGAAAGAAGGTAGGTTTAGATTTGATATAAAGAAATTCCTTACTGTAAGGGTGGTGAGGCACCTGGAACATGTTACCCAGAGAAGTTGTGGATGCCCCATTCCTGTAAGTGTTCAAGGTCAGGCTGCAAAGGGCTTTTGAGAAACCTGATGTAGTGGAAGGTGTCCCTGCCCATGGTAGGGGGGTTAGAACTAGCTGATCTTTAAGGTCCCTTCCAACCACTCTATATGATTATAGTCATCCCTCTATTGTGGAGAGATATGCATATCTGGAGCACAGATTAATTTGGTTGAAAACCAATACAGCATTAATTAAATAATAATATATAGTTACCTGAATTCCAAAACACAGAGCATTAAAATATACCATTTTGATTTAAAGATATTTATTTGCTAAATAATGCTATCTGTGTTTGATACTTGCTATGTCTCTAGTCTAAGCAGAAATTACAAGTCAAGCTTTTCATGAGACGTTTACATTTGTCTGGGTTGTTTGGTTGGGGTTTTTTTTTGTAAATTTAATTTTAAATGCATTTAATCATTCAGATACCTTTCTGAATCGAATCTGGTGTCTCATATGCTTCTGGTATTTCATTCTCTAATTCTCTGTGCATGTCATCTGTTGTAGGAGCTTCAAAAGTTTCTCCATGTATTTCTTCCTTCACTTGCCACTGGTCACTTATACTTTCATCTACATCTTCGTGCCTCTCTCCTAATCAATAATGCAGATTGTTAGTGAATACATACTCTTTGGTATATTCAATTACCAGCAAATATTCAGTCTTCAGTACACCCTTTGTGTTTTCCAACAATGCTCTAAAGGGTATGAGGAGGGGGACAGATGATTTGTCTGTACCTGCCAGCACAATAAACCCAAACTATGTACACTGACTTGACAGGGTCTTCTCTGCCCACAGTAAAGGTCATCTCTGTTCTATGCATTCTTGCACTCTACGCAGTATATTGAGCAAGTTTTTGTCAACTGACTGATTTGAACTATTGCTGCCAAACACCTCTGGGTAAGAGGCCACAGTTTTAGGATTTGGTGACTGAACTTTCCAAATTTTCTTGAAAATGACATATGAGCTTAGAATGTTTTATGCAGGCAAAACTACTTTAAGTGCATATGAAAACCAGACTGAGATACATCTAGCCTATGGCAGTATTTACAAACTCTTCAGTGATTCCTAAGTGTTAATGCATTACCAGGCTGCGAATGGAGAGTTTCATGAAGAACAGACTGACTTTCGTCTTCCAATTCTACGTCAGCAGTCTTGTGCTCTAAAAGGATTATAAATTGCAGTGAAAGTAAGTGTAAAAGGCAATGTCTGAACATCAGTCACATCAGATTTGTTCTGAATACGAATTCAAAGAATTTATCTACACTGCATTCTCTGCACATATATTTTTCTCAAGGGCAGTAACAACTTCGGATAACTATTCAAACCAAGAACTCTCATTGAAGTAATTATTTTACTAACACTTTAATCCTCTACCTTCTTACAATTTAGGCAGCAGCACTAGCATGTCATATTTGACAACAAAATGTCACTTGCAAAAAATAGGGTCTTGTTGACTTTATAACCAGGGAAAATAGATACTAACATTACAATATCAAGGTCTTATTCTACTAGGAATTGCCAGGAGAAATCACAAACTGGTTTCAGGGACAAGTGACTGGCATCTAATACACCAGCCCAGAACATAACAGGAATTTGTATGAAGTGTTGCCTTCATATAAATGTCCTGAAATTAACACTCAGAAATGTTACAGCACAAAAAAAACAGATCACAGCTGCATTTTCAAATAAAGACCTAAAATGGTACCAGTTATGGAAAAAAAAAAAAAGTAACACAAGTCTCTTATAACAAAATCTATATTCCATTTTACTGGCCATATACTCCATACTTGTGCATTTATGTGTTAGGTTCATATAAATATCAAGTAGGATAAGCCACTCCAAGTAACAGAAAAAAACATGTATCTCTGAATAACACTAAAATGCAAATTGCGTACATGAAATGTGACTTGTAAACATTTTTCCTGAATCCCTCTTTAACCTAACACATTTTACTAATACTATGGGGTTTTTAAAATGTTTGGGGTTTTTTTTTCAACAGTAAAAGCCCTACTTATGGTACTTATGATATACTATTGGTTTTAGTGGAAAAGGGTAAATTTGATTGTGTTATGAAGTTGGTTCTTTGGTTGTTTTTTTTTTGTTTAAGGTGGAGAATCTGCTGTTATTCTGACTGGATATACAGTAGCAAATGTATCTAAACCACAACTGTACATCACCAGAAAGTTATTCTGATGTGATACAGATACAATGGTAACCATGAGGGTTGACTAGAGCATCTTCTAGACAGCAAAATTTTACACTTCTCATGGTCTGTAATTTACACAAAGTTATCAACAGTGATTCCTGTTAAATAAACTTTAGTAGATAAGCAACACAAAATCTATGAAAGTTTGCATGCTAAGGAAACAGAATTATAATTCAAATGAAGCATCATGTCTTTTGTTTCACCTATGGTTTATTATAGGCCTTACCTGATTCGACATAGGACTTCTCAGCAGCCTGGACAGTCTCCTCAGATTCTGGTGGTGTTGGCTGTGCTGGGACAGATCTTTCTTTAAGGCCTGCATTTTTCAGTTATAAAGTTAACTTTATGCTCCTTTTGATCTGATTCAGTTATAAACTAAGAAAGTTGTTTCAATTAAATTAACTGATGTTACACTCTCCAAAAATGCATTCAAACAATCATAATTGCAGGGCTGTCCTGATATACAGTGATATATACAGAAACTAAAGTGTATTCAGACAGTAAACAAATATGTTTGGAAGACATACAGTGAGGGAGGGGAAAAAGAGACAAATTTAAGCACTTTATTTCAAATTAACTAAACAAATGACTACGGTATTCTCAACATCTATTCAGTATCCAGCAGAAAAATAGGAAGCAGATTTTTTTCACTGTTTTCAATTTGAGCAAAAAGTGTTTCATATGATCAATTTTATAGCTTCTATGAACATTTAATTTGAACTTTACAAAAAGCTTCACAGAAAGAGAAGAGGTATTTTAAATTCATGTGTTACATCTTAGATCTTATGAAGAGAACTGTAGTTTCTTCAAAATAAGGTAATCTGAATCTCCAGCTTCTTTTGACAATTAAATGACTACAGAAAAAGTATGACTGATGGAATTTCACCAGTTAAATGCTTACTATTGATACCACAGAGTCTTTCTACATCAAAACACAATGAAAAGAAAGCAACCAATAACTGCAATGATCAACACCTTGGTAAGAGATAAAGGTAACTCTTAGACGTGAAAGATTATGCCACATCTTAAGACAACATAAGCTCAAGAATCTACTGGTATTAGGCTAATTCTCCTCTCCAATCTCCTTTAGCAAGGTTCAAGGAAGACTTATACAAGAGGTTCAGACAGGGCATAAGAAAAAAGTTACACACACGTGCATCCAGCCTGCACCTCCCTCAGACACAAAGGAAGTGAAATCATTGGAAAAGGCCGCACAGAGAGGCTGTGCATTCCCATCCTTGGAAGTTTTAAAGACCACACTGGATAATGGCCAGAGTAACCTGGTCATTCCTCTGAAGTGACCCTGTTTTGAACAGGATGTTGGAATAAGGATCTCCTGAAGCCCCTTCCAAATGGCATTCTTCTATAATCCTACATCCGTGGTCAATTAGGATAAGACTACCTTAAAGAAACACACATACGCACACTGCCCAAAGTAAACTAGTTTTTCAAGAGTTGTATACACAGAAATCAATAGAAAAATATTATTTAATAAAGCAGAGGCTACAATATAATGAGCACTCCTGTACTGCTAACCATCTTGTAAAAGTAACTTTTAAGTGGAATAACATAAATAATAATAATTACCATGTTTCTAAAGGAGTCAAAAATATCTCAACACAAAAAGGACTAGTATGTCTAAACCCAAATTTGTGTAAAACAGAGATATTATTCTATGCATCATGAGAAAAACACGTATTTATTTCAAGTAGTGGAAACAGAATACCAGAATCAATTCTATCTTGATCTATTATTAAAATTCAAACAACCTGAAGATAAGTTAAGCTGTATCCAAAAGTACTGTAACAGATTAACTCCACTATCATGAAGTCAAAATCAGAAGCTAGGAAAAAAGCACCAAATTTACCTTTAATTTTTTGCCAATTTTCTTCTGTGTTATTAAAAAAAACCCCATAAAACATTAAAAAATATTATTAAGACATTAATCTCTTGCTGCAGGAATATTAATTGCTACAAAGGTAAGAACTTACTTCCTTCTACAATCACCTTTAGATGAAGACAAAAACAGTTACTTAATATTTGCCACCATCTCACACTTCAGAATCTGCAAACACAGACATGGCCACACAGACCTTACATATACACCCCTCCATATAAGTCTTCGTATGCTCCAATAACCCACATCTCCAGTAGCAGACAACCACCTGCTCTGCTTCATGAACAATAAATGGAATCAAAGTATTTCAAAAGATAGTCAGTATTTCACAGCCAACAAGAACTATGGGTACTTAACAGGAAAGAAGGGACTAGCAAGAGCACTTCTTGGTTTTGCTTGTGCATTTCTCAACTTGACTTTCAAGCTTTTTATACACATCTTTCATGTTTATCACTGATTCCTATACAATCCTGTTGAGTACAGAATACATTAAGCCATCTACTTTTTGCAAGATACTATTTTCTCTATTATTTTTATTAAGTTGCATTCAGTTTTTGCTTGTGTGGTCCATTTTTTTAGCTTATGTGATAAACTGCCACATTAATTTTAATTACAATAACATATCATAGAGATGTACAACAACACAACAGATCTCTGGGGCAAAAATATCATTTTATTGTGTGGCTACCTGTATAGCCTGGAGTGCTGCTCAAATAAAATGTTCCTTGAAAAGAAAAAAACCCACCCAACTTTTTTAGAACCAGATAAACTTTGGGTCATAGATACAACAATACGTTAATCAGAAAAGCAACTCATTCCAAATTTTACTCCCACACAGTTACAAGTTCTATCACATTATGGGAGAAAATAAAAAGTAATGTGCACTATACCACTGTGCCACCATCCTTGAGAAGTGTGATTTGAATGATCCTCTGGTCAAATATTTATCTTAACACTTATCAGAGCAAAGCTGAATAAATACATCTATCATCACCAAAACCTAAAAGAGAATGCTCATTATGCAAGTGCATTTATTAGATCTTCATTCTGTCATATTTTTTGCTAAACACTATAATGTTCACAACACACATCTCTTCCCTCCCTCTTCATGCATTTATAAATATTTAGAAAATACCTTGGTATATCATCTCTGTTAATTATCACAGCTAGAACCTTAAGCTCCTATACTATTTTCTATAGCTTTAACTCAAACTGTTTTTCATAACTATTTGAACAATGTTTTATCTCCTTTAAAACAAAATAAAATCAGATCATTTTATACCTCTAGGGATCAAGGCATGTTACAGACACATGTATCAAATGGCTAAGTGTATTGCCAACTGCCATACACAAAATTTTAGCAAAACCACAAACAGAATTAATCTTCAGGACTTCTTCAATCTGATATTACCATCCATATGCATATACTCGTTCTCAATTTTTCTCCTTAGTTTTGTTTTCTTTAAACTAATACTGCAGTATTAATAATTATTAATTAATATGTTATTAATTAATAACGTGAATAAATCTTAAAATTTCATTACAAATTTTGTTCTGAATCCTATGTAATTATATTGTGCAATTGCTTGCAATATACTTGCTTTCGAGTTTATTTAGAAAATATTAATTTCCAAATAAACTTGAAAGCAACTATAGATTCAATAACATACTGAAATACCTCTAATATCTCTGCAGAATGTTTCGTAACTTTATTTATTCTAATGAGACTGCTGGATAAATCCTTCCTTGATGCTACAAATACAGAAACTGTAAGAGCAAACTAACACAGGACCTTGCTTATAGAAGTACCATGCACTTGAAAAGTGTTGAAGGAAATAATAGTTGCCAATATATATAAGCTGTTCTCTAAACAAGTTCAACCAGAACAGAGTAGTAGTAGCATATCACTTCTTAAGTGTAAATGGAATCCAACAATGCTTATTAATAGTGAAATAGGTGGCCTAATTTTAAGTAGTGTTCATTACCCAAGAACTTGGAAAACTTAGAAAAATCAGGACACAGTTAACTGAAAAGTGACTATGAATCAAGCTTTCCAACCTATGTAGAGTTAAGTAAATAATTAAATAAATAAATAGAGGATTGTAGAAAAGTAAAACATATTTTCAATATGGATCAATAGATAAAAATGTTGCAATGTATTGCTTGAGTATACACCGGAGTCTCATAAACAAGTGCAACACTGAAGTGGATTTCACTGTGTATAAAATAGTTTTCTCAGGGAAAAAACATTTTACCTAGGGAAAAAACATTTAGGAGGGCATAATTTACATTTATTTGATAAGTTCCTATGACAATACAGTCCATTACTGCTCCTCTTCATGGTTTCTGTGAAACAGAAATATTTTGTCTGTGAGTTTCCTCTACATGTGCCCAGATAATTCTCTTAATATTGCTTTTAAACTTGCATTTCAAACACAATATTAAACTTTCATCTCCACATCAAGAAAATAGTACCTAAATACAAGAAAACAAGGAAGGCTAAAAAAAAAAAAAAATCAACCATAAAGCCCCAAACCCATATTTAGTGTAGGCTTGAATTAACTGACATGAATTTGACATTCGGATGTTTTCAGTACACACTGGTAGCCAGGCACATTAACATATGCACATACTTGAGTTTCACAGCAGGTCTTTCTGCTTTGTGTTTACCATACTAGTACACACTGAACAGTTTTCAAAAAATTATTATATATAGCCTTTTTTCACATTTATTTCCAGAAAACATTATTTTCTTACTGCCATTTTTACCACATTCATATAACTATGCTGAATTTCTCATTCCTGAAGTCTGTTCCTCTTTAGCAGAACGGGAACTGTTTATTTCTTTTCTTTCTTGTCTTCCTTGGATTGGTTTTTGACTATCTTTTTTGTTTCTTTGTCTTTTCCCACCTGAGTAGTACCGTCCTTTTCACTGGCTGATTTTTTAGTAGTCTCCTTGGATTTTACATTTTTGTCTAGGCCTTTTTCCTTTCCTCTGTCTCTTTTAGCCTTGTCAGAATCTTTCTTTAATTTATTCATATCAACAGCTTTCTTGTCCTTTCGATCAGTAGCATCTTTTCCTTTCCTGGCTTTCTTTTTTTCTTCTTCATCTTTGATTTCCTGCTTCTTGGATTCCTGCTTCTGTCTTAATTTCTTGAGTGGTTCTTTAACAGCTTCTTTTACTTTTAAGTTTTTCATTTAAAAAAGAGGAAATGTTCAATAAGAGAACCATTCTTAGGTCATAAAACATCTTATGAACAACTATCTAAAAGTCTTGATCAAATTCTTATTTAATGTTTGTTAGATGCCAATTTAAACTTGTAAAATTAACTTCTAGGCTTTAAGCAATTTAAACAAATTAGTTTTGACTTCTAGCAATATCTCACACCATGCAGCCAGCAAGCAACCTTAGCTTATAT